TCGATATCAAGCTAGCTTTCCCTATCAGGATATCAAGTCATTAATTAAGTCGTCACTTTTTCGTTTATGGCATGCAGAGTGGGCCATGGAGTCTAATAACAAGCTCCATGTAAGCAAACCAGTCCTTGGGTCTTGGGAGAGCTCCTCACTTAAGAACCGCTTTCACGAAGTTGTATTGTGCCGGCTTCGAATCGGGCATTCCTTCCTTACACACAGATATCTCCTTTATGGGGAGGATCCACCAGTTTGTGAGCACTGTGGAGACAATCTTACTATACTTCATATTTTGTGGATCTGCCCGGAATTCGACACCGAACGTCGCGCTCATTTTCCTGAGTTTTTTAGATTTTGTATTCCATTTCATCCCGCTCTTTTGCTGGGAAAGCACCCTCTCGTTCCTCTTGATCGAGTTTTATCATATATTACTAGCACTGGCCTTATACACCAGATCTAGTCCCAGTTGTTTTCAGGATCATCTTTTTGTAATGAGGTAACCATAGGAGTTTCATTAGTTAATTTAGTCTGGCGCAGTATGGCCTCCGTTGCTGTTGCGCCAAAAAACCCGCAAACCCCCCTCGGTAAACGTTAAACATGGCTGAAAATCCTCGTTTGTCCTAGTCTCTTTGTGCACAATCTTTAACCATGTTAAATTAAACTAAACTGAACGAAAACTATAAACGTCGGACCACTATGTAAATTAGCAATAGCCAAGCCCCCATAGCCTAGCCAAGCCAATCCAACGATAGCACATGTTCCCGAGTAAACGACGTTGCCATATCTTATCACTCTCATCGTAGATCCGCAATGGAAACCGCCAGGAAACGACAGCACCGTGCAATTTCGCTCGCAACGAAAGTCAAGATAATTCAAGAACTTGATTACAACCAACTTACAAAGACTGAAATCGCCAAGAAATTTAGGATCCTCAAGTCCACGCTATTCAGGATATTGAAGAACAAAGGAAAGATTGAAGACGCCGTCGAGCTTGGGAGCTTCACGACAGACCATATCCGGATGCGGACGACGGTGTACGGTGAAATTGAGGATGTGCTTCTACTCTGATTCAAGCGTGCACGCAGCGCCAATTTGCCGATCAACAGACCCCTCTTGGAGGAGAAGGCCTGAGAGATTTTTTCTCAGATGGGAATCGAGAACTTCAGGGTAAGCGACGGTTGGCTTAGTTGTTTTCAAAAGCGGCATGGTTTTTAAGACTGTTTCCGGAGAAAGTGCGGCAGTTAATGGAGATGTCTGTAGCTGCTGAGGCTGACACTCTCTTCAGGCAGGTTATCCAATCCACTTCTTTCACGTGAGAGGACTATGAAACGCTGGACGCCAACATTGCAACATGCCGTGAGGAGAGACTTTAGGAACTGAGTGCTGAGTTCGGGGTGAAGACCAGTCAAGTGATGACAACATGGGGTGCGATCGCAGCGAGAGATGCTGTCACACTGTTGCAGTGCTACTTTGAACATAACAGTTCCACAGAGTTTCTGCCCAGCCTCTCAGCAACGCACTCCTACTTTGTGAAGAAGTGCTTGAGCAATGGCAAACAAACTCTCATTGACTTCTTTTTTTTTTTCTAACCAGCAACATTAGGTGTGTTCAATGCTTTAAAACAGGTAGGTGCACAGAGTTTCTGTCCAGCTGCTCAGCAGTGCACTCAGAATTTGTGAGAAAAGTGCTTAAACAATGCCATACAAAATCATCTATTTTTCTTGTTTTGTTTTTAGCAACATTAGCTGTGTTTGATGCTTTAGGAGATGTGCACGGAGTTTTTCTCCAGCCTGTCAAGATTATGTACTTTAAAACTTAACAAGAGGCCATAACCTTGTTTTGTTTAGTCAGCCATGTTATCTACAATTGAAGCTTTTGAAATAAAGTAATGAAGCTCAAATTTTGTGTACTTTGCTTAAATGAACTTCTGATAAATGGAACAAATTTTCTTGTCCCGTCAAGTTCCGTTTAAGAGGAGTCCACTGTAGTTGAAACATATCTTTTTTAGCGTAGGCTCGCTTCTGCATCTCCGAGGCCGTCAAAAACGCCGCGGCGATTTGTTTCCATCTACAGTCGCCGATCGATTATTCGGACTTCGCAGGGACCGAGAAAACGTCCAAATAATAGAGCAGTCCGAAAAATCAGCAGATTGAAAAACTTGCCTTTATTACTTCCAAGTCGGCTTGAAAAAGCCGTAAATAGTGCCTTGTTCCAGGTTACGCCTGTGTGCCTTGTTTTAGGTTACGCCCCCGTTTGTGTTCGCCAACTTTCTGCTAGCTTGAGAAGCGCTGCCTTCTTTTCTAGAGCCACAGTCGAGCACTTTCTGCGCTTCTTAACGACACATCGCGGCGGCAGAAGAACAGATAGGGCCATGAGGTCCAAGCCAGCGTTGTCCGAACGAGATGAGGCACAAATCCACGAGTGCAAAATGGCGACTGTCGACGCGAAAGTGGGGCGGAGGCGCGAAGGGATGGAAAAAAAAAAAAAGTGAAATGATGATGATGATGATGACGTGCAGTATAATGGAAAAAAAGGGCTAGCATAGCGTCACCTAGCGGTAGGACTCTGGAGTACTCAAGTAGCGCTGCCAAACCAAGCCAATCCATTTGCAGCCAAGATGGAATTCAAAGTGGCCGCTTCTCGATGATGTTTTCCGCTAATCGCTCGCGAGGATTTGTCCGAATTACCAAACTTTTGGACTACAAGCTGTCAGAAACATTGGTCGTGAATATGCACTATTTCTATGGGGTAAGTCACGGCTCCGCCTTTAGGTCCTAAATATTGAACAAGTCCGAATTATCGGAGTCCGAAAAAACGGTCGGCGACTGTATGTCACTTTGCAAACGACTGGCACGGGCCATCTTTTACCGACTATGACAGTTGTGTTGGCTTCGGAGGAACGAGCTGGGAGCATACTCCGAAGGAGTGCTCGAAGTGAAGAGGTCAAGGTAACAAAATAGGTAGAACTAGCTCTATTTTGACGAAAAGCGGACATGACATCACAGACGTCAAACTACTACTGTGTCCCCTTGCTCTGCCCCGTATTACCCTCCGAAAAAGGCGTCCCGCGGGGCCGCAGGCACCACAGGCACCGTGTGGAGTGTCGGAACTAGACTCCAGTCAGAACTGTCGCTCAACACGCTGCCGCATTCCTCTGCGCGCACAGAGCTCTTGAAGTGGTGATCTTCCGCCTTCTTTACTCCTTTGACTCAACAAGTCGGGATTGAGGGGCAGGTGCATCGGGGCTACAAAGAGGTGGCCGCGACAGACACTCCGCATGCAAAGCACGTGCTCCACGCATTTATAGCGGCAAAAGACAATCTACCTTTCGCAGCTACAGGCTTTTTGCGCACATCTTGGAAGGGTTGCGCTGGTTTACGTACTGTATCGGCGGATCGTCCTTCGTATCAACGATGTCTAACCGTCGATGCACTTGGAATAATCCGGTCTAAAATGCATGCATTGGGATCGGGATCGCGTCAAACTTCGAGAAATGCGATAATTCGTAAGGATTGTCCTTCGTAATAAGCATGTCCGGCCGTCGATACACTTTGAATAATCTGGTTCAAAATGCTGCATGTGTTGCGATCGAAACTGTGACAAACTTCGAAAAATGTGATAATTCGTAAAAAGTGATTTCGTTATAACGAGGGATTAGTGTAGTTTTATTTACTTGGAATTCGTTATCATTGTCAGTTTGGAAAATAATGTAAAAAGTATGTGCATATTTTTTTTTGTCACTTAATGGTACACACATATTCAATATTCTGAGTTATATTTTCTTTTTTTCAATATTAGAAAATTTCAATATTCGCACACCCTTACTCATTGGTGTATGGTTTGCCCTGCATATAAGTGGAAAAGATGTGGCCAAAATGTTTTTCGGATTATTTGTAATGTTTGCCTACTTTAATTTCTATGGAATCTGGAAAGAGAAAAGACGTGGGAGAAAAGGAAAGGGACAATTGTAAGGACAAAGAGAAAGTTGTCGTCCTCTGTTGCCAAACTTTTGACTCCCGGTTCAGACACATGTGTTATTGACTGATTGTGTTCTCTCCTCTCCTGACCGGTTACGACGAGATAAGACCTGGCACCATAAATCAGGTTCCCCTGGCCCACTCCCGGTGTGCACACATTTCCTAATTTTTTGTGCATTATACTTTCACCATGAGCTTGAAATAATTCTGACAACATTAGGAGGAACCATTGTCTTGATCTCGAGTGTACTACGAAGCATTTATAGTGATATGCAAGATAAGAAAAGCGGTGCGGGGGGGGGGGGGGGGGGGGGGGGGCAGGGGCAAAAAGCGGAAACTAGGGAAGCTGAAGTGGAGCAGAGCGACCTCCTTTCCACAGCGTCTTTTCTCATACGCGCCCTCAAATACTTTACCAGGGGGAATACATCCTACACTGCCCAACTGCATTAAACCTACCACGCCAATTTCTCCCCTGGCGGTTTGGACGTCTCGCCGCACCTGAAGAAAACATCTTTTTGCTCTAAAAATGCTTAGGAAACAAGCTACAACACATATCGAGCCAACACTTGCATCGACCGATTGGATTGCGGAACGCCTTTCGCCCGCCCGCGCAAATGCTTGATAATCGTGACTTCGATGGAAATGGGTGGCGCCTCCCACCACTCCCAGTTCAATGCACAAATACCCAAGGTTTTTGGTCACCCAGCCATTCAAACTGCGCCAAACCTGTCTCCGCCGAGGCCTTTGTATTATCAGGGTGTGGGATGTATTGCCCCCAGCAAAGTATTTCATGCCCTTTTCACCCTTAAGCTGGCTTTCTTACCTTGTACCTGTATTTCAACTCTGCATGACGCATCATAGTGGAACACAAGGAGCCATAATGCTGTTGGTTGCTCTCTAACACAAGTGCCTGAACTTGTATGTGTGTGTGTATTTCTCTAGCTTAGTAGCGAGGCAGTTAATGTTCCGTGTTTTATAATCAGCCTTGCAATGTTTACTTACGCAGCTGTTTTCTGCTTCTCTGCTTAGGAACCATTTGAAGAAGACCAAAGCATCATGATCCGTGGCAAGCCTAGGGGCCCTCCTCGGTCTCCATTCATTTTCGTCTCCCCGGAAGGAGGCTTAACACCCAAAGTCATTTTCCTGTTCCTTTGACAGTCTTGCTTTTTTTTTCTGTGTTCTGAACTCCAGACGAGTTGACATCCATGTCCATTCCTATAACGCTGGGCATCCCGGTCATTTAACGAGCGCTAGTCGTCATGTGGTCTAGCAGCCCGAAAATCGGTACCAAGGAGTCGAAAGAATCTGAAAGGGTTTTTTTCTTCTCACTACTATCCACCCAAAGATTTTTTAATGGCGAAGGGACTTTTTTCATCTAGAACATAGAAGTTTATGCTTGTGTGCAGTGTTGTTTCTGTGTGAAATTGAGGTAACAAGTGAAAAGCAAGTTCTTGTTTCATATCATTTCTTGCAGGCAAAGGTTGTTAACTACTCTGAATTAAAAACATACAAACTCCTTCTTTGTGCATGTTTTTTGACATTGTGTCTAAATCTCGGCTGGGAACCTCTTTTGTGGGGAACCTTTGCAAGAATGAAGGATGTGGTCATGGTATTCTTATGGTATTTTACACTTTTGGTGGAACTTGTAGATCTGGCTTAGGAAGTGCTGAAAATTTGCTATGTTTGGGCCAAATCATTCAAGACCTCATTCGGTTATATGTGAAGCTATATTTTCTTTTGCAATTTAAGTGTGAGGCTTTGGCACAAGCTTTGGCTAGAGAGTAATCCGATGCCAATTTAAGGCCTGCATTTATGTGCTTGTACGTTGCATTCAACTTGTGAAATCAGCCTTAGTTGAGATTACATAGTTTTTCTTCTTTTCTATGTATGTACTACATTCTTTTATGCTGATGGTTCAATCTTTCTCTTTTTTTGTGTGTGTGAAGCTGACTGTGGATGCTAACAATCTCAAGTGGTCCATGAGTAGCATTAGAAAAACAAGCTGATTTCCATACATAACTAGTAAAATGCTTCAACTATTGCTGTTTGCAACATTTTCTCGGCAGTTCTTGTTAAGGTCTGACTTACAGAGTCCTCTTCTGCCAGCAAGGAAACTGGTTCCCAGTTTCCTTCTCACCATTCATTCTCACTCCGGTTCAGCGGCCTTTAATAGGCGAAACTAAAATTTCTGGCAGCCATATTGTGCTATAAGAAGCACAGTTTGAAGGAATTAATGCAGGTACCTGAGCTATACATAGTTTCAATTCCTGTGCTGTTTGAATACATAACGAAGCAGTGTCTGCCCACCACACTTTTCTGGCATAACTTCCTACATGAAATATATAATCACCTAGAGATACGCAAGAATAAGAAAGAGTGGACAATACAGGACACTCTGTACCGTCCACTTTCTCCCTTCCTTGCATATTTTTGCCACTTAGGTAAAAGTGAACCAACTAACTCAAATTGCTGTTTTAAAAATGTAATGTTTTTGAAATTTTTATTTTTTATATTGACTTCTTCTCAACCTGCTAGGATGTGAGGGATGCTTACCAAAATACTTTTGTGACTGACATGATGGATGGGCCAATAAGTTGACTGGTTTTGTAAATAAAACAATGGGGCAATCTCCCAGCTGTAAAATTTGGGATACTTGATGCTCTGTCAGCTAGGGACTGCCCTTTGGGGAGCATTTTTATTATCGGCAGGGGAGTTAATTTCTTGGTGCATGCAACATTGTATTGGCATTGTCTAAGTGGTATTTAGTTTTGTTATACCTTAGATTACCCACCATGCAATATTGAGCATGCGCCACCCAGGAATAAAAGCATAGGTAATCAATCGAAGGGTGCTTTCCAATTCGAGAACTTATGTATGAAGATGCCTAGTTAAAGGTGAAGTTTAACTGCTCTTGGTTCCTTCCTCAGATAATAACAAAACACACACCTTACTTTGTGCTCTGCTATGTAAAATGGAATTCTGACAAGGCAATCAAGCTTTCGATACACTGTACAGACATTGGGGATAATGCTTGATGTCCTGCTTGTTTGCAAAAGTGCATTCGTCATTAGAATTACACCAGCATGTCGTGTACTAAGAGACTATCCCAGAGGTCATTGACCTGTTTAACGGTATCTGTAATGACCTTGTTTCATTTTTTTCTATTGCAATTAACTGCTACTCTTCTGACGTACGCATGTAACCAAAGTGAGTTCGGTATTTCTCCTCTTTTGACGTACGCATGTAACCAAAGTGACCAGTGTTTTCTGCGGTGTTATTGTGGTTGAATATTTCTGTGATAAGGCATGGGGTGCAACTTCTCTATTGGCTAAAGCCTTTCTTTGTCATGTGATACTTGTGCTGTTATATCCATATTGTTTTCCTCCTGCTGTACCACTCTTGCTAGTTGGGCAAAGGTTGCAATTTATTTTAAATTTTGTTGTGCAATTGTTTTAGGCGTCTGTAGCTCGATGTGTCATAGTACTCTTCGTGTTACTTGGCTATTCTACAGTCCTTCCAAGAGTTGAGTCATCATTGCTGTTTTTCAGTGTAAACGCAAAGTCATGTCTCTGGTAAGGCTGCACAAGGGGTAGCAGCTTCATTCTTGCTATTTAATAAAAAGTGTTGGAGCCCAATGACTACAAAAATTGTCAGTTGCAGCCACAATGATTGCAGTTCTTGATGATTGTGAAACTTTTCGCACCTAAAAAGAAGTTTCAGAAAGTTGCTATGGAAGTGTGTAACACAAATCAAATTTCCTTCACAAATTCTTTTTTGCATTGTTTAGTGATCAGTCTTTCTATCATATCTATCAATCATGTAATATCAGGGTGACACTTCCACTGGGCAGGTGTAATCAGTTACCATTACATATGTTTCATTTGTCTGGACAATCAGCTCCGTGTCTTTTATTAGAATAACAAACCTAAATCCTAATGAGTTCTAGGGAAGATACTGAGCAGATCGAGAGCAGGGGCAATCACTGTTGTACATATCACTTCTAATCAAATTTTCTGTATGCGCTGAACTCTAAACGTTGCTCATCAAAAACGTTACTGCTGCATTGCATTTGCTTTCATTTTCATAGTTATTATTTGATGTTCCTAGCATGTGACGTGGACAATCTTAGTCAGTATCGGCTTCGTGATTCTTGCACTTTCACTGGAGATTCAGAGTGATGCTTTTGCTCTTAGGGCTTTGAAGTGTTTATAAAGGAATTCCAAAAGGAAGACATCAGAGGCTGGAGCAAGCCCTACAAAAGACCAAGACTTTGTCACTTTTTAAGAGACTAAAGCATCAGATCTCATTGTAATGTTGTACGGGTAGTTGCACCTGTATAACAAATGTTGATGCACACAGGGTTTCAGGACAATATAACTTTTTCAGCCTGTGCACAGAGCAAGTAGTTGTGAGGGGCAGTGTTGCAATGCCTGCGTTGTCGAAACAGGCTTGCCTGCAGTTCTCCTTGCACTTCGTTTTTCACAAGTGATGTGAACAATGTTCCAAAGCCAAGTTATTTAATATTTGTGATGGGGAGGAAAAACATGTCTGGTCATTTAGGCATTGGATCTTACGTTCTAATACTTTGTGTGGTTTGAAGTCCATTCTTTTATGTTTTGTGCAGTTTTTGCAGGAGGAGTGGTGTCTTGTCACCGTTTTGGCGGTGGGCTACGAAGAGGTAGCGTAGGAAATTAGGGATTGATTCTGTATGGATAGGCTAGAGTTAAGATTTGCTTGTTTTGTGCAAGAAGTACTTTTTACACTTTTCATAGTCTGGCAAGTGCTTGTCTGTTATGCCGGAAATTCAGAAGCGCTCGTATATAGCATATTGTTAACAGTGATTAAGTGCAACTGAACTTTTACTTCGGGCTTTTTCGTGATATGTCACGAGTCTTAACTTGAGAAGACGAGTCAGCCATTTTTTTGGGACAGTGCATTTCAGAGGCCAGTGCCATGGCACTGACTACGTTGCCAGGTTGCCTATGCTAGTTTGTTTCTGGAAACTACACTCTGCCTCACTAGTTGTGTGCAGCATTACCAAAGGTACAGGAGCAAGAGCGCAAGCCAAGCAGTTGGAGAGGAGCGGAAGGAGGAACATCCTTCTTACTCTGATCCTCTCTTGTGTATCCCAGATGTTGCTTTTGTCCCCCTCAGAGATTAGCCTGTCACTCAATATTCTTACAAAAGCGGCTTTCCACTTCCTCCCACCCGTGGCTTCCGCAGCACTGTGTGCAACTAGTGAGGTGGAGTGTAGTGGGGGAACTGGAGTTAGGGTAGGTCAACTTGAACTAAACAGGACCAGGTCATTAGACTGTTTCAAATGGTAGGAAACGTTAGGGAGCACTAGAGCAAGCGGCAGCGCAGGCATCAGATGTTCCGACTCAAGAAAGTATTTTTTAAGCACCATTTCAGACAAAGGCGTTTGTCTGCTAGCAGTTTTTCACTTTGCTGTCGGGGCAGAGTATTCAAAGTATAGGTATTGTTGTCGCTTCTATCTCTGCAGGTAGTAAATCTAGTATAGAAAAAAAAATCTGCTTTAAATTCATTGTTAACTGAGCTTAGTTTCTTGGTACGTAGCAACCTTCTGTGTAACCCCATTCACAATGTTCATGAAGTCTTGGCATGTGTGAAACTTTCCAGGTTTCTCTGTAACATGATCCTACAGTATCCTTGTCTCTCTCACTTGAAAGAAATGTTGGATATACATACTCTGCTTACTGGTGTATGTTTGCAGAAATTAGTTTAAGTCTCATCATTGTGCATATTAAAAAGCATTGTAGAGCTTTACGCTCTAAAATGCCGGCCTCACTGTGATTGGCTGCATTGTGTTGACATTGAGCTTATGTATTTTATATGTATGAGTTTTCGTAGCACATTGAGACTTGCTGGCATTGACCATTGTGCATTCTTCTGTTTGCATCTTCCGTGGAATTTTGTTTTGGAAAATAAAGCTGGACTCTTGACACAATGGCTCCTGTTTTGCACCGTAAATGTCTTGTCTTTCTTTGTATGTTTTTTTTTTTCTCGAACATTGTAAGGGAAAATCATGTAGCAACTGGAAAGCACGTGTTTCAAATAGTTTTTTAAACAAGGTATATAAAGCAAACCTCGGGTTTTCGTGATTTGCAATACTGCTTGATTCAGGCATGGCTTTCCTTACTCCGATAATTAGATCAGTTCATTCCAAGAAAGTGTGATGCTTCAGCCCCTGATTCCAAGGGCAAATACTGGTTGCCGGATAACCAAAAAGACACGTTTTTCGTGCGAGGCTCAGAAAAAATATAAGGCGGTGGAGAAAATCGGCCACTTGCGTCGAATCTTTATTTCAAAGTCTATGTTCACGTTCCGCCGAGTGAAAAGCACGGCGAAAGTGCCCAGCAAGCACCTGGTCTCGTTTCACTGCTGTCTCCTGCACAATGATCAAATTATATTTTTTTAAAGGTTACCGGTGTTGAGAAATACTTTAAAGGGGCCCTGCAATCATATTTAAAGGGCAACTCCGGTCCATACTTTCGATTTTGGGATTATGGCTGTTTTTAGTGCAGTTAGCGCCCCTGAATTGCAAGGTGTAATTTTTTTCTCGTTATTGTGCGTAGCTTTAAAGATATCGACGTCTCAAAGTTTTGTTTGGGGCGCGGCCGACAAAACCGAAACTAGCCGCTCGAGGTTCCGGCAACACTGGAAATCAGCCGCTATGTGGTCGTGACGCCAAGATCGTTCTCGTTCAGCGAGTACGCAGTCCAAGCGGCACCTACCTCTGTTGCTCTAGCCGTCTAAATATAGAAGGTAAGCTGATTTTGTTTTAATTAGGGGTGTCGCGAACTTTAGTCGAACCAGATTTTTAGGTCGAACTTCCGGGGTTCGACAGGGTCGAACCGGTTCGACGAACCTTCGAACTTTTCACCAAATTCGACTGGTTCGACTTCGTGGACAGTGTGGCCAGACCTTGATACAAGCATGTCTAGGTTTGAAATTTTTTTTTTATGAAAAGTGTTTTTTTTTTAGTTTTATAAACAGTTGCAATTAAAATAAACTAATTCTGATCACTAAAGGAGTTAATAACTTAATTTTTGTACTGTGTTAACTGAAATAACCAATCAGCACTGCCCTTTATTCATCCCTTAGCCATCACCATCCAATCCGAAGCCAACTGGTCAGCATGTCGCGCATGCGCACACGAGTCGAACCTCAATACAAGGTTCGTCGAATTTTCCACCAAAAGTTTGAAAAAGTCGAACCTGGTCGAACTCGAACCCCGGCCGGTTCGCGACACCCCTATAGCGAGTTCGTTTCACACGCACTGGCACCGTTCGAGTTCTCTCCCAGAATGCATCGCACTCACAGAGTGTTGCACGGAAAACTGGACTCAAACGAACTCGCCAAATGCACCGAGTGCAGAAGACTGATGCTGCCGCCATCTATGTTGTAGAAAAGGCACCGACTTCAAACCGAAACTAGCGCCTTTCTATTCGGAGTGATGCGTGGGAATGCGTGAATGCAGTTGCTACCAACGTTTATCTACGAACGTTGGTCGCTGCAACCTGTAGTTTATAGTTGCGATGAGTTCAAGCAGCTCGGCTGCCGTAGAGGTAGTTACAGAATGCGTAAATTTCCGCAACCAGCTGTCTACAAAGCAGCTGGTTATTCTTATAACCGTTTACACTGAAGAAAACTGATGATGCTGTCCGAGCAGAAGCTTGATCCGTTTGAGCATGGTATTATGCGTGAACCACTGAAAGGGTACGGCTTAAAACTAGCCTGTTGGAATATCCAGCAAAACTGGGACTTTCGATTTGGATCGTCATTATAGGTGGATCAGATATTAGCCTTGGTGCACGGCGTCGAGAACGAGAGCTTTCTCGAACAAAATACGACGGGGCAAGTTATCTGACGTAGGTAAATGTTAAACATGATGATGTTGCCCAATCCTCGGGTAAAGTTACCATCTTTAGCTTTCTCTGATGCTTATTGGGTAGTGAGAGGTTTCTGCTGGGGGAGTTTTGTCGGCAAATGTTAAATTTTTCACCCGCACACGGATGGTGATAGACATCTCGGGGGCCGCTGTTACGTTTGTTTCGAGCATTTCTTTACACACTGGTATATTTCAGCGTTTGTACGGCAACAGAGCGATGTAAAACCTGCAAATAAATCACGGGTTGTCAATTGCTTTCTTCGGGAAATAGCAGACGCTCACAATTCAAGCTCGCGTTTGATTTCGTGGCCCGCGGGACCCGATTTTTATCAGAAAATCTACTCTTTTTCCCGTTCGGTTCCGCGACACATCGTAGCAGACGAACCCTCGTCGTCTGCTCCCGCTCCTCGCCGGCCCCGCCGGAGTGAGGCATGACGGGATTGCATTTTGGCGCACTCCCGATTTTCTTGGTGCAGCGAGTGCATGCACGCGTGGGGTGTCAGCGCTGAAACGAACTCGGAGAGTGCAACCACTCGTGGAGTGCCGGCCGAAACGAACCCGTTCCACGCTGCGAGTGGGCACGCGTGGGCACGAGTGCCGTGAAACGAACCCGCTATAAGTTAGTGCGTATACCCAAAAGCTAGCGACTGGAAAACCGGGAAAACCCGTCAACTCGTTCGGTGGCGCACCCGGCGGCCGCCGCCGCGCGTGCGCTATGCCGTGCCGTAGCGACTGGAAAACGAGTGAACTCGTTCGGTGCCGTACTTGGCAGCTGTCGGCGTGCGTGCGGACTCCCGCACTCGTCGCTAGGCCTAAATTGTCATCGGGGCTCCGTGGATGGAGCGGCGTTGCTTTACGCCGCGCTGCCAGGGACGTACAGTGCTGGCGCTTTCGCGCGGGGGGTCAGTCCCAGACACGAAGCTTTGAGGCTCTCCGGCGCGTTCCGCGACAACCGAACAGACGTGTGTCAATCTGTAGACGTCTGTTTTTTCGCAATTTTTTCCTCAGGCACGTAAAAGCCGAATTTGTAAGCTAATTCACCACATAAGTTCGTCCAGGTAGTGAATCTTTGTACAAATAAAAAAACAAAAAAACTTGCCGCAATAAAAAAAAAAAAAAGTTCTTTGGGCACTATTTTCTTCTCAAAGCTAGCAAAAGTTTTTGTGGGTGATAAAGGAAAACAGAGAATGTTAGCAAGGTGAGAACACTTTCTTTCCCTTCCGCATTCCCACCCCCACCGACATTTTTTTTATTAGAATACATAGGATTTTAAAGGAGCTGTGCAACGATTTTAACGTTGAAAGAATTGGCATTTTCTGCTTTTGATATTGTTAACTGTGTCACAAATGGCAGAAAACACACCTCCTTTCATCGCAATGTTGCGTTTCCGCCGCGTAATAGCGAGGCAAAACTTGGGATATTTCCCGACCTGCAGCCACGAGCGGCGGCCATGAGAAACAAGCGGCGTGACGTCACTTGGGTCGTTGTAAGAAAGATAGCAAGTTGTGCGAATACCTGCTCGATAAAAGGTAACTCTTTTTACAAATCTTGTCGTTCCAACGTATATATAAATGCGTCAACACCCTGGTATTATCGACAACTTTTATTATACGGAGTTTTAGTGGCGCCATCTATCCTAGGTCCACAAAACCGCGAACAGCCGCCAGAAGCCGGAGGGGGAGGGGAACAGCGCCGGACGGGCAAGGACGGGTGGTCACGCAGTCGGCAGCGGATGAGTTCTCGCTGCTCGCTGATGGCTCTAAAGAGAGAACTTTTCCGGAACTCCGCGCCTACTCTAGTGACGTCACTGTGCACGTGACCCGGAAGACGATGCACGAGTTGAGAGGCGGCAAAAACCTGGATCTTTTTCATTTTTTTAAGTAAAAACTAGGGTATCCAGGCAAAATCTGTTTTCTGTAGTTCACTGCAGAAGTTCACTGCATCAACTTCCACAATTATTTAAGCAAAGCCCTAAAATTGTTGCACAGCTCCTTTAAGTTTGCCTTCGTAACTTTTACCTAAAACAAATTTTTTTTTTTTTTTTTTTTTTTTTTGCATTTTGCATTTTTAAATATTATATTTACCTCCAGCCGCACTCGGGCAAATTAGAGAGTTGTAACTTACAAATCCGAACTTTCGCGATTTCTTTAAAGTCCCTTGTGGTATTCACAAGCGCAATGTTAATTAATACTCTGCGTAACGGGTTCGAACGATTGGGAGGCGAATGTTTATATCGCATGAGCTTCACGCGCCGGCTGTTTGCTAGTAGTCGTTACGGACCTGAATACTACGCACTAGATTGCGTAGTAAACAAGCAGTGACGCAAAGCAGAACATTGTTTTCGTTTTCATTACAAACTTCAGTGTTTGGAGCTAGTTAGTGGTTGTACTCTACATGCCCACCATTCCCCATTCAACAGACATTCAATGGAGCGTGAATGCTCAATCTTCAACACTGCACTTGACAATGACTGTTTTATTTATTGATTAGGATACTTTTATCATGTTTACCTTTCTGTACATGTACGATGGGCAAAGAGCGACGGCACGACATCCTTTTAAGCCTCGACCCCTTCACTGACAAGCCACAAGCAACCAACACCTGTAGGTTTCGTTCGTAACTCTCCGGCGAAAAATGATCGGAGCAGAGCTTCGATCTGGGGGTCGACGTCCAAGGCTTTCCAAAGTCCACTCGTCGAACAGCGTTCACCCACACCTTCTCCAATTTCCGATCCGTTGGAAACTTGTGAAAAGCACCTCCGGGTTGTGCAGCGGCTTGTTTGAGCAGCCCACAGCGCTTTAAATTGTGCTCGGCATCTTTCGAGGAACAGCTGGGCAGTCTTGGGCGCACCGAGTTGCTCGCTAAAACGAGTCTAGGAGTTCTCACAAGCAAATAAACAAAAGGCTATACCGAAGCTACACGGGCTACAGGTAAAAGCAACGACTAAATACGCAATCACAAGCCGAAGTAGCGGTGCTAGCGGCACAAAGAAGCGCGCGCGACGGCTGCACCCTGCGCCTGTCCGGAACGGAGGAAAAAAAGAGAACGATCAC